CAGAACAATTTCTACTCAGTCTTTTCTCATCCGAGGGGAAACAGTTTTATTCAGTTATCAACATAGCTATGGGGAAACCTTGTTTACTCCGTTACACCAAGCAAATAACACACTGAAAATAATTCAAGCTAAGGAAATGCCTTCGGGAGCCAATATTCATAACAATAATGTTCAGTTTACAATCATGCTATGAATCTCACATTTTGTCTGTAATTTCAATATTTCAGTACCAGGGAAACATTTCAAAACCATCTACATACAGACAAATCGATAAAAATGTGCTTAAGCAAAATTCTTCCACAACTGCCCTTGGTAACTTTCCTTGAGGTGATCAATCACACACTACATGTCACCATGTCATAAAAGACCAATACATATTCAGTATGCTTCCTATATGTCCTCAACATACAGGCCATACAAGCTTCAAATACAAACACAAACTGAATACCAATAGCCTGTACCCATGGACTGCAAGGTTACATGCAACTGTGTACCCCGGGTTTTGAGGTAAACGAGACTGACAGCGCACCCCAAGTATAGAGGTAAACGGGACTGACTGCGTACCCCGGGTTTTGAGGTAAACGAGACTGACTGCGTACCCCGGGTATAGAGGTAAACGAGACTGACTGCGTACCACAGGTATAGAGGTAAACAAGACTGACTGCGTACCCCGGGTATAGAGGTAAACAAGACTGACAGCGCACCCTGGGTATAGAGGTCAACGAGACTGACAGCGCACCCCAAGTAGTGAGGTAAACGAGACTGACTGTGTACCCTGGGTATAGAGGTAAACTAGACTGACTGCGTACCCTGGGTATAGAGGTAAACGAGACTGAGTGCGTACCCCGGGTATAGAGGTAAACAAGACTGGCTGCGTACCCCGGGTATAGAGGTAAACGAGACTGACAGCGCACCCTAGGTATAGAGGTAAACAGGACTGAATGTACACACTGGGTATAGAGGTAAACGGGACTGATTGTTTACCCCGGGTATTGAGGTAAACAAGACTGAATGTTTACCCTGGGTATTGAGGCAAAGGGGACTGATTGCATACACCGGGTATACAGGTAAACGGGACTGACTGCGTACCCTGGGTATTGAGGTAAATGGGACTGATTGTATACCCCGGATATAGAGGTAAATGGGACTGATTGTATACCCCGGGTATAGAGGTAAATTGGACTGATTGTATACCCCGGGTATAGAGGTAAACAGGACTGATTGTATACCCCGGGTATAGAGGTAAACAGGACTGATTGTATACACCTGGTATAGAGGTAAACGGGACTGATTGTTTACCCCAGGTATTGAGGTAAACGGGACTGATTGTATACCCTGGGTATAGAGGTAAACAGGACTGATTGTATACACCGGGTATAGAGGTAAACGAGACTGACAGCGCACCCCAGGCATAGAGGTAAACGGGACTGACTGTATACCCCGGGTGTAGAGGTAAACGGGACTGATTGTACACCCTGGGTATAGAGGTAAACGGGACTGATTGTACACCCTGGGTATAGAGGTAAACGGGACTGATTGTACACCCTGGGTATAGAGGTAAACGGGACTGATTGTACACCCTGGGTATAGAGGTAAACGGGACTGATTGTATACCCCGGGTATGTAGGCAAATTGAGTATCAGAAATTAGAGTGTCAGATCAATCCCCCTTCAAGACACTCCTGGCTTCCAGGCATCAACAAGCAGGTATACACCCACACATATGAGTCCCTTGCTAACCTCCTTCCCTAATGGAACCCACATACAGCATGTCAGTGTCACAATACACTGGCCCACGAAGCAGTTACCTGTGTACATCAGAGTGACCACTATGTAGAATACATCGACTCAAGTCCTATCTGTGGTTGTAAGGGGCAGTTGGGTAGCCTAGTGGTTAAAGCGTTCACTCGTCACGCCGAAGACCCGGGTTCGATTCCCTACATGTGAAGCCCATTTCTGGTGTCCCCCGCCGTGATATTGCTGGAATATTGCTAAAAGCGGCGTAAAACCTTACTCACTGACACTGTCTGTGGTTGTAGCTAACAATAATTAATCCCAGTCATATAAACCACAACATGAGCAGAAGACAGCTGTAGGATTTAGTACATGGTATTGACTTGGGCTGTATATGTATCAAGATAGTTTTCTCGACAATGTACAATGGTGATACTAAATCTTTTTTATACAGTTAGAATCAAACACTGACATCATGATCATATGTAACAGACGTCTTTAAAAGAGAAAACATTTGATCTGAGACAGTTCTTGGCCACAGAAGTTATAATTTCACCACATCCCTTACGTTTGTATGCCCATTCCTCTGCAAAGTGAGATAAATCTGATCCCCTTTATGCGAACCTCACAAGATCCCAACTGCACAATATATAGCAGGCTTCCCAGCCGCTAGGAATGCAGCTTGTACACCCTTCCCTGGTGTTCTGTATTTACTGAGTGAACATTACAGGTAAGTGTGTGCATCACCCAGTGTAGTGGCAGGGCACCTGCTCCATCCAGTCCCATGTCATCAGGGGCTGCACAGTGACACACAGAGATGACAGCCTAGGAGACACTCCTTCACATACCTCCACCATCAATACACACAGCGGGGAGTCGGACACAGCTCACTGCATCCTGTTGGGTAGTCCTAAGCTGTACTACAGGCAAGATCACTGTATCTATACTCATTTGTACACCATTTTAAAGTTTTCTCTTCGGAACTGGATTTTTACAAATAAATCTGATATCTAATTAGCCAGTTACTAGTTTTTCAGCAAAGGAAATAAGATCAATCATGTTGCGATACAACCCTTGCAAATCAATGCTTCATATCAGATGCGTTCTGCTGTACTACCATACTGTATCACTGTCTCACTGAATACAGTGTCACACCACTAAAACACAAACTACCTAATGTCTTCATCAGGTCTGATCCCTGACGCAATCAGTACAGTGGGTCAGGCAAGGATTCTACACTTTTACAATATTTCTTACCACCAAAATAGTATTTGAACAACTAAGGACTTGACTAATATATGTTCAATGTGCGGCGAAATGAGAACAGTATTATATGATGATAACCCTAGCAATTGTATTGATAGATTAACTATTTATTGTCAAAAGAAGTAGTAATTTACCTTTGTTGTGGAATATTTTAATCATAATTATTGTCATGCATAGCACTTGTCTACTATCCTGTAAGGACAAAAAAAATGAACTGTGCATTTTAAAAGAAATAATTTAAGTCTGAGCATTATTTGATAACAAAACACTTTTTTTGCCGGACAGATAAGAATATTGCAAGAAGATATGGACAGACAAGCACACATGCTGCCAGAGTTCAATACTTCATGATCACAGATTACAGCTAAATGTGCCCCATTTATGAGGCCTTAAGGAAATAATGATTGAGACATTTAACATTAATACAGAAGATAATGGTTATGGAGAATTGTCCCCTATGTGACACTACCCTTGTAATGGAGAAAACAATGGTTCGTGTATTATGTCCTCTATGTCCATTGACGACGGAGGAAGCACTCACTGGCACTTCATGTAGTTAAACACACACACAAAATAGAAACTTTAATTGCTTCACTTCAATCATCAAGTTGACAAACTCACAATTAAATGCAAACTTCAAAATGAACATTTATCAATATACAGCAATATGCAAGACAATGTCTTCCATTCATAGTAGTCCTTATTGGTAATCAAGTGTTGAAGCAAGAAAAGTTTAGCATCTATTCAGAATGGGTTAAATGTATTGAAGATGTATTGTGATACAAGTCAAATATAATAATGCTGTCATCTTCCCTGACTTGAGGGGAAAGCCTGAGTGTGATTGAAAATCAGCTGTTTTCAAACCACAATAACTTTCCACTGATTTAAGCAATGTGAAACTATCAACAATGTTATGTGCAACGATCCACATCGTCAGGGTACACTGACATGTAAACAACCGAGGGGGCCAAGTCTGACCACCTGATCCATTACATCTACAGCTGAGGTTGCTAGGGACCTTACCCAGAATTAATTTTTCATCAACAAAAGCCCACCTCACATCATGTTTCTACCCCCCAAACAACGCCTGATTGGGCAGCTGGAGACAAGTCTGGGATACATTGCACCACCTTCCAGTTTATACACAGTAGTAGACTAACACTTAGTCTCTGAAAATATATAATTTTGACAGAAACAAATAACTCTATTTAAACTGAAAAGGATCCCCAGTGAGATGGGAGAGAGTTGCTTCATTTAGGACTTTTGTATTTCTGAAAAGGGCTGGGTGGGAGAGAATATGATATGGTTCAGGGACTCAGTGAGACAGACATATACACTGTGAGAGCTACTGCATTCATTGTGTCTGTCTGAGATAGGTGGCCAAGTCTCATGGGACCACACTCGGAGTATGATGGCTGGTGTGATGAATCAATAACACACATGAAGTTTTTCTGATGACTATGCAGTTGATCAGGCAACTCCTTGTGAGAGAGGATGCTGCCATTATCTTATCTGTGCACTGATTAACAGGAAGTTGAACATAAATGTGACTGTACATTTACCAATAACATAAATATGAATATTCAACAGTATCACAAAAATTAGCTTCAGGACACTAATTACTAATATTACATACTAATTTGTATTTGTCAGGAGAGTTTGATGAAGTATTGTCATTTTATGTCCTGTAAGTATGTCGCCGATTTCATAAACATATAAACCCTACACGTTTCACCCCTCGAAGCATGCACATTTATTAGCAACATTATATGCAATCATAGACTGGATCACTTGCTGTACTGTTTGAGGATTCTATCTGTTTGAGAGTACCCAAGACATTATGGGATACAACAATCTGCAAAAGCCTCAAGGGCAAAAGCAAATAAAAAACTTTTTCCATCAATCATGGCCACTTGAAGACTTTTGTTATCAAATCAGGAAATTGGGTCAGAGAACAACAACATTACTTGAGGGTAGAAAACAAAAATATAGATGACTCACCTGGTAAAATGGCTACTCCTGATCGAAGCAGATCATAGTCGAGATCCATGATAACTCGGGGACAGTCTAAGTCCCGCTTGGTGTGGTATCCATTACTGCTTAGACTGCCACTGCTACTGTGGCGACTACAACTTTGACTGGAGCCTCCATCCTTCACCGATGCTGATGAGAAATCTGCGGATGAAGAGATACCACTCTCATCATTACAGTCTTTGTCTGCCATTGTAATTGGGCTTACATTCACCATATATGATTGGCAAACATGGCCACAATGAGCTAACTCTGTCCGCCCATTCTTTGATGAGAGCTGTACAATTATCTATTCACATATCCAAAGTTTGCCAACTTTCACTCAGGGTATGACTCAGACACTCATTGACACAGCTTAGTGGCAGACGACACGATACCATGCAGTTTACTGTGCTGCAACCACTGCCACTAAAACAAAGCTGGCATGAATGAGGGCAGACAGCTACTTCCATTCACAAGATACTTTCCCAATGTTTCTTTTCTCCACCACACTGCTCCATGACGAATGACAGGCATTGTCTACTCCAGAATCTGCACTCAACTTCACTCCATTAATCCACAACACTACAAAGGCCGATAAACCCCAAATGCTACATTATCCCATGGTTTAGACAAGTTACACAAACTGGAAGAAGCAAGACTTGGTCTGTAATGGAAGAGCAAACACCAGGATAGCATCCATCAGCGTCTACGGGCTATTGTCTCCTGCCCATCCCAACCTCAACACTGCCAGTGTAGTGTGACCCTGGCCAGGTATCCAACCCCCCTTAATAAAGGTAGACTGTGATCCTAGTGTTCTGCACTGCATCACTCCGTGGCATCACATACCACTTGCCTATATAGAACACACCGCTGTACCTAGCCTGTGTGCTCCTCTATAGGAAATGGGTCAATAACAACGTTTATACCACATGGTGAAGAAAACATTTACATCACAAAAGCAAATTGTCTTCAGCTTCAACAAAGAATGTCAAGAGACGAGTGACCTGAAATGATTTGAATATTCTAAGAAATCACTTGTAATCAACCAGTTCACACTTGAAAAATTAAATATAAAGGTAATCAATAAATACTGAACGTCAACAACCATGACCAGAGTTGCTAAGATGACTTACTATGGGCTTGACAACACACTAGTGGTAAACTTACAATAGTTTATGACCTATTTGCAAAAGACCCACATGTATACATATTGAATGTCACCGGGCTGCCAAGTCTATCATATAAAGCTACAAATTTTGGCCTCAGACCCCTCAATACATGTCCATACAGCACCTGCAATAAAACTCTCAGCTTCAACCCCTGCCATAGTCCACACATGGCCCTTCAGATCAGCTTGATAGGATTACAAGGAATTACATGACATTAGCAGTGTGAGCCAACCTTACATAACTGAGTGGAAAATCAACTGTGGTCAATCATGTTAGCCTTTGTCATGTTGTTAATTGTCTGGAAGGTTGTTTGGTGTTACATGCAATATTTCACCTCAGCTGACTTTTGCCCACTGTAGAAATGGACACACACTTGATAGTCCTCCAGAGACTATCAGGGTACTATTGATTTTATATTCACTTTATTTACATATGGGATAAGGTATTTGTATGCAGAATAGACTGATTGATTGTGGGTCCCTCAGTGAAATACTTCCATCATTAAATGATGGCTTTACCATGTAGTGCAGTGGAGTCTATAGCAATTACAAGTCTTGTTGACAAACAGTGCATTCAGCACAAGGTTCAATGGCCCATGATTTCCCAGTACCTGATGCTTGGTAAGGCTACATAGGGGTCCCAGGCTCACAACCTGGTGCTTGGCAAGGCTACAGAGGGGTCCAAAGCTCACAACCTGGTGCTTGGCAAGGCTACAGAGGGGTCCCAGGCTCACAACCTGGTGCTTGGCAAGGCTACAGAGGGGTCCCAGGCTCACAACCTGGTGCTTGGCAAGGCTACAGAGGGGTCCCAGGCTCACAACCTGGTGCTTGGCAAGGCTACAGAGGGGTCCCAGGCTCACAACCTGGTGCTTGGCAAGGCTACAGAGGGGTCCCAGGCTCACAACCTGATGCTAGGCAAGGCTACAAAGGGGTCCCAGGCTCACAACCTGATGCTTGGCAAGGCTACAGAGGGCTCCCAGGCTCACAACCTGATGCTTGGTAAGGCTACAAAGGGGTCCCAGGCTCACAACCTGATGCTTGGCAAGGCTACAGAGGGGTCCCAGGCTCACAACCTGGTGCTTGGCAAGGCTACAGAGGGGCCCCAGGCTCACAACCAGGTGCTTGGCAAGGCTACAGAGGGGTCCCAGGCTCACAACCTGGTGCTTGGTAAGTCTACAGATGGGTCCCAGGCTCACAACCTGATGCTTGGCAAGGCTACAGAGGGGTCCCAGGCTCACAACCTGATGCTTGGCAAGGCTACAGAGGGGTCCCAGGCTCACAACCTGGTGCTTGGCAAGGCTACAGAGGGGTCCCAGGCTCACAACCTGGTGCTTGGCAAGGCTACAGAGGGGTCCCAGGCTCACAACCTGATGCTTGGTAAGGCTACAGAGGGGTCCCAGGCTCACAACCTGATGCTTGGTAAGGCTACAGAGGGGTCCCAGGCTCACAACCTGATGCTTGGCAAGGCTACAGAGGGGTCCCAGGCTCACAACCTGGTGCTTGGCAAGGCTACAGAGGGGTCCCAGGCTCACAACCTGATGCTTGGTAAGGCTACAGAGGGGTCCCAGGCTCACAACCTGGTGCTTGGCAAGGCTACAGAGGGGTCCCAGGCTCACAACCTGATGCTTGGCAAGGCTACAGAGGGGTCCCAGGCTCACAACCTGGTGCTAGGTAAGGCTACAGTGGGGTCCCAGGCTCACAACCTGGTGACAGTGCTATAACTATCCTGTTTGAGTAAAAGGGTTATATCTGTTTATTGTCGACATGTTCAAGTTCTAATGCTTTTTGTAATTTATTAAGACCTGATCTTTCTAATGGTGCTGTCTCTGCAATGTTTCATGGGTGTCATTCTGATCGGTCGAATGTATGGTTAAGAATAAGAAAATAGTGGTCAACCAATCAGCATTGTGTAATCAAGCATATTCGATGGATCAGTACCGAGATTAACAATCTCCAAAACAGAGCATTCCAATATTTATCAAATAGGGGTGTAAAGACAAAAAAGATTATGAGTTTGGATGTCAGCACTGTTTTATTCATGACAAGTGACTGACTTAAATTTCATGATATCAACATCTTCAGAAGAACGAGTACTTACATAGCGTTAATTCCAACACAGCCAGCAAGTTCACAATGGAATCTGTCCATTCCATGAGTCTATCTGTCTTTAAATTGGAGTACTATCTTTAAAAATATACTTGATCGCTGTTGATCATAACCACCAGGACTGTAATACTTCATGGCTCACATCTTTATGTAAAACTAAACTTTTATGTTCACAGACATTATAGGTACTGAAAAAAACTGTCAAAATTTATACAATTGATATTTAATAGTGTACACATGTATACATGTTTACTGTCTTACATCTTGTCATGGGCTGATGTAAAACATCTCAGACTCTTTTACCACTGTGGGTGGTTCTTATGAGAGAGAATTTGGATTGATTGATTTACGAAGCAAACTGATTGTCAAACTAAATGAAAACAATAATCGCCTTATTCTCCTTTTAAAACATACTTAAACCCAAGCTCACATAATCCAATTTCCGCAAGGTAACCACAGAGTATCATAGATTTGCTGTTATTCAAAGCATAAATCGACATCAGGGAGACAGTATTATTTCAGACTAGTGCAACACAATGGCAGGGAGACAGTATTACTTCAGTCCAGTGCAACACAATGGCAGGGAGACAGTATTACTTCAGTCTAGTGCAACAATGGCAGGGAGACAGTATTACTTCACACTTGTGCCCCGTGATGGCAGGTAGACAGTATTACTTCAGTCTAGTGCAACAATGGCAGGGAGACAGTTTTAAATCAGTCTTGTGCCCCGTGATGGCAGGGAGACAGTAGTACAGTCTAGTGCAACACAATGGCAGGGAGACAGTATTACCTCAGTCTAGTGCAACAATGGCAGGGAGACAGTATTACTTCAGTCTTGTACCCTGTGATGGCAGGGAGACAGTATTACTTCAGTCTAGTGCAACACAATGGCAGGGAGACAGTATTACTTCAGTCTTTTGCACCGTGATGGCAGGTAGACGGTATTACTTCAGTCTTGTGCCCCGTGATGGCAGGGAGACAGTATTACTTCAGTCTAGTGCAACACAATGGCAGGGAGACAGTATTACTTCAGTCTAGTGCAACACAATGACAGGGAGACAGTATTACTTCAGTCTTGTGCCCCGTGATGGCAGGTAGACGGTGTTACTTCAGTCTTGTGCCCTGTGATGGCAGGGAGACAGTAATACTTCAGTCTTGTGCCCCATGATGGCAGGGAGACAGTAGTACAGTCTAGTGCAACACAATGGCAGGGAGACAGTATTACCTCAGTCTAGTGCAACAATGGCAGGGAGACAGTATTACTTCAGTCTAGTGCCCTGTGATGGCAGGGAGACAGTATTACTTCAGTCTTGTGCCCCGTGATGGCAGGTAGACAGTATTACTTCAGTCTTGTGCCCCGTGATGGCAGGGAGACAGTATTACTTCAGTCTAGTGCCCCGTGAAGGCAGGGAGACAGTATTACTTCAGTCTAGTGCCCCATGATGGCAGGTAGACAGTATTACTTCAGTCTAGTGCCCTGTGATGGCAGGGAGACAGTATTACTTCAGTCTTGTGCCCCATGATGGCAGGGAGACAGTAGTACAGTCTAGTGCAACACAATGGCAGGGAGACAGTATTACCTCAGTCTAGTGCAACAATGGCAGGGAGACAGTATTACTTCAGTCTTGTACTCTGTGATGGCAGGGAGACAGTATTACTTCAGTCTAGTGCAACACAATGGCAGGGAGACAGTATTACTTCAGTCTTTTGCCCCGTGATGGCAGGTAGATGGTATTACTTCAGTCTTGTGCCCCGTGATGGCAGGGAGACAGTATTACTTCAGTCTAGTGCAACACAATGGCAGGGAGACAGTATTACTTCAGTCTTGTGCCCCGTGATGGCAGGTAGACGGTATTACTTCAGTCTTGTGCCCTGTGATGGCAGGGAG